CCCCCCCCCCCCCCCCCCCAATCAGAGAGTGTTACCATTTCCCCTTCCCCCTGGAAGCTAGAGAATATTCTCAGTATGTGGCTACCTGACCATACCAAGGAATGTAGTATAATAGGTGTGACTTTTATCTAAAGCTTAATCTCAAATACTGACTTACTTGAAAAGACCAGAATAACTAATTTAAACAGCATTTCAAGAAAATGGCCATGTAAATCACTTTCTGCACTTTTTCACTATCTAGAGCAACACTAACCAATAGTGCTTTCTGTAACGATAGCAATGATGGAAATATTCTATATCTGTGCTACCCAATACAGTAGCCACTAATCACATGTGGCTACTGAGCATTTGAAATGTGGTAATTCATTCAACTAAGAAAGGGAATTTTCAATTTTAACTAATTTAAATTTATTTATTATTATTTTTTAAATTAAAAAAATCCTACATAAAGATGACCAGTGAGGGGATCTCAACCCTTGGCTTGGTGTTGTGAGCACCATGCTCAGCCAGTGAGTGAACCGGCCATCCCTATATAGGATCCGAACCCGTGGCCTTGGTATTATCAGCACCGCACTCTCCTGAGTGAGCCATGGGATGGACCCTAATTTAAATTTAAATAGCCACATGTGGCTAATGGCTACTCTCCTGGACAGCGTGAACGCAGAGAAAATTATAGTGGAGAGGGAATGGTACCAACCTCTTCAAAAGTAGCAAACCACAAAGGCACAAGTAACGGATGTATGTGCAAAAGAGTGGGAGGCTGGTTTCCGGCATGGCGTATTGGAGAAGTAGGGTTTTAGCTTATAAATAGGAAATTTTAGCAGAAGTAAGACATTTTAGCTTATAAGCAGTAAGTTCAGAGGATGCATAGAAACCTGTCTCTTAGCCTTCCCCAACCAAAAAAACAAATTAATTACTGAAAGTCACATTCTTTTAAGTAGACAAAAAATGGTCAATATTTAGTTTTGGTCCCACAATAATCAATCCAGCTAGGACCCTATGAAACCCTGTAAACAAAAATTAAATGATAACTGCAAATAGCTTTTTGTTCCCCAGAATCAAAATTACTTTGGTTCTGGAAGTGGTTCTCCAAGTGCTGACAAAAGATTAACTCCGAGTTTTACAGAGGCTCAATATCTTCGACATGCTTACCACAAAAAAAACATCAACTCTTCTTTTCTGGATTCCTTGGTTTCAAAGCTTGCATCATATAAAGCATAGCGACAATCTTTTTCAGGAAGCATTCCCACAAAATGCTTGAAAGGATCAGTTATGGTTACACCAATATCTCCAACCAAGATCTCTTTGCCTTCTTCTACAATGATGCACTTTTTGTCTGCACTGAGACAAAAAATGACAGCCTTCTTTCTTTTCTTAATTTCTTCTGGTGTGGAGCATTTCCGAACTTTCATATCATAAAAAATGCGACATACTTCATCAGCAACTTGCACTCCTGAGGCCTAAAATGAGAAAAGAAATAAGAGGCTTATAATTTTTTATCATGCCAAATAATAAAATACTAACTTTTGATTATATATTGGCATGCACTTAAATTTTTCAAGGTATATTTATCATCCAATAAGAAAACTAGAAAATCTGAGCTGTAATCACTATCAGTTCCAGACATCAAACTTTTAAAAAAGATTTCATATAGGTTCCGGTCAAGATGGCAGAATAGATGGTCTCCAGCATGACTCTTTCCCATAAATCAACCAATTTACAACTATTAAAAAAGCAATGACAGCCGAGCTGGGGCCACTAGAGCTCAGGGGAAGAGGAGAGACATACGGAGTCTGTGAAGGCTGGAGAAGCCACAATGAGAGAAAGAAAGGATCACTCCCAAGCCTGGTCCTGATGAGCACACAAAACAAGAGCTGGCAAAAGCCACAGCTGTGCCCTTCAGATGAAGTTGCTTGGAGGCTGCAGAGGAGAAGAGGGCCTTGGTGACCCCCAGGCCAGCAAGACTACTAACAGGGTTCCCATGGGCCCACACAGGCACAAGGAGCCACAAAAACTGAAAAAAGGAGCCACTCAGAGTCCAGTGAGTCATTGCAAGGGACCGGCACACAGCCCGTCCCATGGGAAGTGTTTGGAGTGCGGGTGGTGGGGGTGATGGGCCCACTGGGAGAACACCAGGGCACAGTACGGAAAGTTGATCTGCCTTCCAATCAGCACACAACCACTCAGTGGAGACTGGTCAGGAGTATAGAACTACAGGGGGTGCAGTTTGCTGAAAAGTCTCAGGCCCTGACCAGCGTCTCCACGCAACCCAGGTGCACCAGACCTCACAAGACCCGGAAGTGCGTACAAGGTCAACCATTAAAACCTGAGCTGCACAAAAAGCTTCCCCAGAGAATCAGCAGCAAAGCAGCAATGTAGCTCAACCACAGGGCTCAGGTACTGGTCTCCACAGGAAGTTCCCCCATTTTAGATGTAAGCAAAGGACAACAAATTACTTTCAGCGCAGAGTTTAAATGGTGGGAACAGCAAATAATCTAACACTGAAGTGAAAGAAAAAACAAAATACCCACAGACCAGAGAAAAAGTTTGATATTAACTAGTAAAGGTCTCACATCACCAAAGAACACCTATAAAACCTACAAGGACTAAAAGCTCCCTGTGCTTCCATGCCACGGAGAGGGGAGGGCTGGGGGCCTGAGCCGTGCCCCCAAACATCTGCAACCAGCCCAGTGATGGCCACCAAGCCACTGCAGGAAGTGCCCCGGGCTGCCGAGCTGGGGTGGTGAAGGGCCAAGGGCTTCAGCAACACCCCTGACATTGGCAGCCAGCCCAGCAACAATGGAGCTGGAAGCCCGCTGGTCTCCCCTGCAGAAATGAGGTGGGTGCCATGGGCCTCAACCATTTCCCCACCTTCCTCCTTCTCCTACCCTATTTCCTTCCCCTTTCCCCTCTCCCCCTCCCCCTCAATTGCTCTGCAACATTTTAGAATGTAAAAAATATTAGTAAATAAACTTAAAAAAAGATTTTATATATATAAACCATACATCACTATTAGAAGAGAGTAAGGGAAGATTCAGCTATGGCAGCCTCTCTTACCCTAAAACCTAGAAAAAAGTGCTTCTTAAAGTACTGGATTATTTTCTCCTTATACAGGTTGCTTACAGCCTTGGTGGGCATAGGTAGATCATCTCCACAGTTTGTATATTAATACCTGAGGTACAGAGCTTCTGGGCTAGGAAAATTCTACTCCTACAGTATCTCTTTCTCTAATAAAAGAAGAATTATTAAAAGATCTTTGTTCTACTCACACTTCAAAATTATGTCATCAATATTCAGTAACATATTAGTCACTTGCCATTAAAATTTCACTTACAAGGGCTGGCCCGTGGCTCACTTGGGAGAGTGTGGTGCTGATAACACCAAGGCCACGGGTTCGGATCCCTATATAGGGATGGCTGGTTAGCTCACTTAGGGGAGCATGGTGCTGACAACACCAAGTCAAGGGTTAAGGTCCCCTTACTGGTCATCTTAAAAAAAAAAAAAAAAAAAAAAAAAATTCACTTATAAAATCTCTAAGTTTTAAATTAAGACTAGAATAAATGAGAAAATGTTTACTGCTATAACAGAGAGAATAGCTTATTTGGGAATTATACTGACAAGAAAAATAACCTTTGACCATGTTATACTTGTTATTCTGGGATGAAGGACAGATGAACAAGATTTTGATGGCAAAAGATCTTAAACCAGTTTTTAATCTTCTCATCTCCTTTAAGGAATGTGCTATTTACATTAACTTTACTATATTCATAATTTTTTATGCTTTACTAACTACTTTGGTTTGCACGTTAGCTTTTCTAAAGCAAGAATTATAAACTTCATGGAATTTAAACACTAAACAATGTAAAAAATTAATGATACCAAAAATTAATGTTTAGTAATTTAAGAAATAAAAACATGTAAGATGAAAAGGTAACCTACAGAATGGGAGAAAATATTTACAAGTCATATAAAGTACTTGCATTCAGAATACATAAAGAACCTTACCACTCAATTAAAAAGACATATAATCCAATTAAAAAACGGTCAAAGGATTTGAATAAACATTTTCCCTGAGACGATATACAAATAGCCAATAAGCACATGGAAAAAATTCTCAATTCAATGCAAATCAAAACCACAATGAGATACCACTTCACACCCACTAGGATGACTAAAATTAAAAAGATGAATAAAGGCAAATGTTGGCGGGGCTGTGGAGAATGAGAATGCCCACACACTACTGTAAAACTAAAATGACACAGCCACCCTGACAGTTCAGCAGCTCCTCAAAAAATTAAACGTGGAGTTAACATATGACCTAGTAATTCTACTCCTAGGTATATACGCAAATGAAAACACTTCCATCCAAACACTTATACGCAAATGTTCACAGCAGCATTATTTATAACAGACCAAAAGTGAAACAACCCTAATTTCCATCAAGTGATGAACAGATTTTTAAAATGTGGTATATCCATACAATGGAATATTATTTGGCCATAAAAAATGAGGTACTGATACATGCTACAACACAGATGATCCTTGACAAACATGATGCTAAGTGCAAGAAAAAAAGACAGAAAAGGCCTCATGTTAAATAAGTATATTTATAAAATGTCTAAAGAAGGCAAAGCCACAGACAGACAGTAGATTAGTGGTTTCCAGGGACTGAGAGAAAGGGAAATGGGAAGTGACTGCCAATGGGTATGGGGTTTCTTTCTGGGATGATAGAAATGTTCTGGAACTTACAGGGATGACGGATATACATTCTCTATAAATGTACTGAAAAACCACTGAATTATACTTTATGGTATGTGAATTATATCTTAATAAAGCTATTACTTAAAAATGTATTAAGAATTCTGGGGGTAAAAATATGGAAAGATCCTAGCATTTACTTAATATTAAGGTAACTAGGCCATTTAATCATCTCATTCATTAAAAGAACTCTAAATATAATATACAGTTGACCCTTGAACAAAGCAGGGGTTGGGGCACCAACCCCCATGCAATCGAAAATCTACATATAAGGTTCTGACTACCCCAAAATTTAACTACTAATAGGCTACTGTCCACCTGAAGCCTTACCGATAAGTTAATTTACATATATTTTGTACATTATGTATGTTACGTACTGTATTCTTACAATAAAGCTAGAGAAAAGAAAATGCTATTAAGAAAATCATAAGGAAGTGAAAATACATTTTACAGTACTACACATGGATTTTTTTCAGTAAATACTGTATAAGTGGACTCGTGCAGTTCAAACTCATGTTGTTCAAGGGTCAATTGTACTTTGACTCCATCTAATCTAATCCACATTTTGTTTGTAAATGAACATTTCACTCTAAATTAATGAAGTGGCAGATACAGAAAATTAAGACTAGAAAACTCAGAAACTACACAATCTTATTACATTCTCACTTTTAGAAAGCACTTTTCTTAAACCTTTTACCCTGGTAGTATTAGTCTTTAGTAGTAGTATTTTTCTGATCTTTACAATTTATCTATTTTAAGTTAAAAATCTTTATTTTTCAACAGAGATGAATAAAATGTTCAAAGTAACAAAAATTAATGAAGAACTAGAAACAGACCCAATTCCTCTAGTCTAAAATACTGATCTGTAAGTCACATTTGATCCAACAACCAATTTTTAAAAACGTGAAGGCAACATTTGAAGACTTATATTCAACCATCTAATATTTGAATATATCTGTCAACATCTAAACATCTTAAACTACACTCTAAATTCCAATTTGGAAATTAAATCAAATTAATCATATACGAGTAACTGAAAACAGAAAGTAAGTATGTATTATGCAATCATCATGTAGCTAAATCTCAGCCAAATCTGGATTTACAGGTACCATAAAAGTCTCAATACGGAGTTTGGGCTTCTTCCTATCAAAAATGAGATTTCTGATAAGGGGAATACCATTAGACACGTGTGCTTAAGGAAATTAACACTGAAGACTATAAAGGAGACACTGGCACAGAAACTAGAAGCAGAAAGACCAATTTTGAGACAATTACAAATATCCAGAGGAGAAAACTCAACTACAGCAGTGAGGCTGAAAACAAAAAACAAATCCAAGGACATGTCAAAGTCAAACCAATATAGCTGAGTGAGACATGAAGGAGTGGCATCAAACACTGGTGACAAGACTGTGATGTATGAACAGAAGGTGGAAGATGGGCTAGTACAGCACATTAACTCTGATGACTGTGTGAGACATCTGGGTGAAGATGACCAGTCAGCAACAGAAACATAAAGCACGGATCTCGTAGGAAGGCTGAACCTAACACATATTTTGGGTTAGCCCATATCATCGGGGCACCAACATTAAGCAGTGAAAGAGAAACCAATCAAGGAGACTAAGAAGAAATGATCAGAAAGTTAAGAAGAGAAAGAAGGGAAAAAATACAGCATCCTAGAATCCAAGGGAGAGTATTTT